CCACGATGCCAAAAACCAAATCTAGGCAAAAGCAAGTGTGCGCACGTGGGCTCCTGAAAAACATCTTCACCTGTATTAATGTTATGGATGCTTAACAGAAACTTTAATTTCACTGAACTACACACACTTATATATGTCTACATAAACACCCATAACTTACGGGTGCTAATGTAACCGCTATGTGCTGGATTTAGACCTTTTTAGTTCATATTTTACAGAATAACCCAAGACAAGCAACAACCATTGCTTTCACAAATGTGCTGCTTACCTTTCTGAAACAGCTCTGGCTTTTAACAGGGCTGCTGTGTAGCATATTGCTGCTGATTTTGGAAGACTGATATCTGTTAAAATAAAATAATTAAACTGTCAGATTCTAAGGCAAGACAAACATTTTAAACCCACATCCTTTGAGCCTAGAGATTTTCACTAGGGCAGACAACAAATGTACCATATGGAACATTTCAGCTACGATCAGAAACCTTGAATTTCTCTGCAGAGTCTTCTCAGGTTGAAAACTCAGAGTTGCAGTTAGGTGGTAAAGAGTAATTTTTTCTTCTAAACGTACCAAGACACTGAAACTGAATTAAAAAACAAATGTGTGTATAAATACACACTTAAGGACAGTGTACTTCTCCTGTATTAACCCAGAAAGGTTCAAAATAAGCTTCCAATCTTTACCTAACTCTGCAGCTGGACATTCACACAAGAATTTTACACAATACTGAAGGGGAGGCTGACAAGGAGCTGATCAAAAAAATTACATTACACACAGGTAGAGAAATTTTAATGAAAACGCAATTTCCATTCTTTTCCAGTTCCATGGGGAAAAATTCTATTAGTTTTAGGTTTTGTACAATATCCGAGGCCAAGTTTGAGCTGACAATTACAGATTAGAAGGTTAGCACTCCACAGTACAAGTTTACTTTAAAAGCAGACAAAGTCTGGGGTCTAATTCCCAAGTACCATGTTGTGTATAGTCAGATGGCTCTTGCTTTTCTTGTAAATCCCATCCTGGGCTTGTCCATCACTTACTGCAAGTCTGGCTGTCACATCAAGCAAAACACTGGGGTGTTACAGAGAGTTTGAAGCTCGTACTCATTTTTCCAGATGCTCAGAAAAAAAATCAGCAAGCCTTTCTTAAAGTGTCGCAATTCCTGGCATTAACACAAAGCACCACCAGGAAAACAGCAAATGCTTTGGTCAGATTCATAAGAACCCACCCAGAAGAATGCAGATGGCCAAGTAACAGCAGCTAGGGTGGCCACACACAAGGGGCATGGGATTTGGGCAACAATATCAGACTTTCAATTCCCTGAAGCAATAAAGAACACAGGAGAGAACAGAACGACTTCCCAAGGGCAGGGAACGACTGCCACAAAATAAATACTGCTTCTGTGGCTCTCCATTCTGGAGATGATTTAAAGGACGGCTTTGGCAGCAGCACTTTGTACACTAATGGTATGGGCATTACCTAGGTGGCAAAACTCTGAGGACAAGAAGAAAGTAGGTATATATTTTACTATCCTTTATCAAGACTTGCACAACACCTGAAACGTATTAGTTGAGATGGAAGTGAAAGCAAACTACCACCATTTAATGGGCCACAGCTTGCACACCACTCATCTCTGACAGCAGCCTCAGTATTGCAGAACCATGAGGCCATGCCTGAAAGATGACAGAAGGGAAAACCACCTTTTACAGCTTATTTACACCAGCTACTTAGGGGGACATGGCGATGACTGAAAAAGGCTGATGAATTTAGGCATAACCAGGGACGTAGAAGAGATTAAAAAATGAAAATAATCCTTGAATTGAAGCAAAGTGAGCTCCAAGATTTCTTCACAGATTAAAAGTAACTTAAACTTAGAAAGTAATTTGTATGCAATTTAGCTTGCCTAAATTTGATCCCATAATTCAAAAGAAAAAACTTGACTTGCACTCTGGAAGCACCTATTTGTTACCAATGAAGGGAATCGGTCAACTACTGAGATCATGGGTAGAAATCTGCTTCTGGAGGGGCACACCTTGCGCACCTCACCTGTGCTCACACACAGTCACTCATATTTCCCACCAGCCATTGCTCACCATCATACTTTGCTAAAACTGCCTGGACATCTGCGTAAGCCTGTAACTCCAGCAGTGCCTCCAGGAGGTTCTCATGGATATTCAGCATGCTGAGAAGTGGAAACTCTTTCATCAGCTGCAAATCAGTAAAGAGAAATAAATTAGGCACATATACAATGGCACTTGCATCCCTGAAATACTCAGTAGAAAGCAGCACAATAATTAAAGCTTTTTCAATTATCTGTTCTTTCACAGTGTTAGAAACTGGCACATAAGCAGCAAATCTCACTGGAAAATAATGCAATTAGATTCATTAGGATGCCTAGAAAGGAACTTTAAACCTGCAGTTTGGACAACGTGACTGAAAACCACAGTTGCTTGCTTTTTTTTTAATTTTAATTTTTACTTACATCTCTCATCATTTTTACTGCTTCTCGTATTCTTCCAAGTTTTCTCGCACACATAGCTAGTCTCCTTTTCACATATACCAGTACATTGGTGTCTCTTCCTGAGAACAAAGGCCAAAAAACAAATAGTCTACCAGTTTCAATCCTTACCTCTCCTTCCCTCTCTCAAAAAAACCGACCACCAAAAACCCCACCACCTTCTTCCTAACCACTTGTAAAAGCACAAAATAGTAACTACTGCTGTCCCAAACAAGGCCCAGCTACACCAATGCCAGCAACTAGGTTAAGTGACAAAAACCCATAAAACTGGTTGTTTCAAACTGTTGGATGGAATAAAAGAAGTGCTATTGCCACACACTAATGGCTTCATTAGTCGGCTTCGCCTACCCAACTTCCCAAGACAATAAACACATCGAGTCTCAGAGAGCCGACCCATGAACACACAGCATAACTGCTGCTTCCTAAAACTCAGTCAGGTACTGCACACACCACAGGAGGAACTGCCTCACTGAGCTGGGCATCACCCTTTGGTTTTACATTTCTGCTCATGCAAAACCAAGAGTCTGCGTGACTTGGTAGTGCTTACTCAGCTGTGCTTCGTGCTGGGGACTTTGGGAAGGGCAGTTCTGAGACTTTCTGTAAATCATCTCTCCTGCTTTCAGCGCCTGCTTGAAATACTTCTCTGCATCTACAATAGTGGTTGCCTCTTCCTCAGCCAGGAGGACATAAGCAGTGGCACAACTGCAATGAGAAAAAACCAGCTTGTTGTTCAGAGAGACAAAGCTCAGTATTTTTTAAGTGTTAAAAGCATTAGAAATGCGCAGTTAGCACTTATGTTTAATATCTAAGCACTGACAGTATTAAAGTACCAAAATACTGAATTATGTTCAAATGGTGGCTGTCAGGAAAACAAAAACCTTTTCCATTTTACACGTTTGGAGAAAGAATTATAACAGCAAGTCAAATAATTTTCCTACAAACACTAAAAATGCTCTGGTAATGGCATGGAGAGGGGGGTTTTTGTGTTTGATTTGCTTTGCTCTTTTAAAACCAGGAGGTAGACATTTCACACAAAAACAACCAGACGACATAACAAAACGGATCACAGCAGAGCATGAAATTCTTCGGTTTCTGTTGTAAGAGTATTTTTAAATCCCTTACAGGAGTGGCATCTGTGACCTCCAAACGCAGCATAACCACGATGCCCTCCCTGAAACACACATGACCTCGTATTCAATTTACTGCCCCATGTCGGAATAAGATTTCTCATTTGTTATTGCTACGGATACAAGAGAGAGTAAAAGTCATTTTTGAGAGCAGCTCAGTCACAGAAATCACTTTCAGCTATTCAGAACTTTGCTAACTCGAAATTATTAGACCAAGACGCTGACCATGTGCTCTGATCACTCAATGTAACTTTCACTCTAGAAACACAGCAACTGGAACTCAAAACTTACTCATTGTTCAACTCCAGAGCTTGATACGCTGCTTTAATCCGGGCTTGAGGGTTTCTCTCTCGCCACGCTTTCTGCATCACTGTTGCAAAAACAGGGAAAGGCCGGTGAGGACGGAGACACCTGGGAGCCAAGGCAGGCAGCAGCAGCTGCTTGTGCCTCGGCCCTACACCAACAGTCACTGGGATTTTGCAAATTCCTGCTTGCTCTGTAATTGTCACAGGGAAGAGTAAACATCTTTTAATTCCAGCACGAGTTCCTACCACAAGCAGCCGAATCTTGCAACTTCTCATGACTTACATTAAATTCGAGGTGTAACACAACCAGAAGGATTATTCAGCAACCATGTAAGAACTCCTACACCAAGCAGCAGAGGCAGCTTACACAACCAGGCAGACGGACAATTTCTAAATTGCCGCAGATTTTTGGACACATTTCCCAAGCGTTGCTGAAAGCTTGGTGGGAGCAGTTCTTAAACACAGGTTCTTGCCCGGACCTGCACAGAGTTTTAATTTAAGCTTTCAGACAGAACTTCAAAGAAAGCAGAGATGGAGGAAGCTGTGTCTTGCACAGGTACAGATTCATCCCTAGGTATTCAGACAGCTACCAGATCGTAAAGGGTTAAACAATTTCTTTTTAAATCTACAAAGCACATTTGAGTGTCACAACACTGCACAGCCAATTCAAGATACACTGTAACAATTTATCACTGTATTAGAAACTATTCTAGGAAACAAAAAGGGTGAAATCCATCTAACCAAAAGGGTCGGTTGAATCACAACCTGAATTCAAAATTACAGTCAGATGAGGAGCAAAAAAAAGTTCAATGCAGCGACTCCAAATCCCTGCCACTGTGCTTCGTTAGGGAAAAACTGAAATCCCAAACTGAAAACCAACTTCTAGCAAACAAAAACCAATGTACTTGGAGCTCCCATTTCCTACGCAGAACCAACCGCTTTCACACCACAAAGCAGCTCTGACAGAGCTCCAAAACCTTTCGTTCATGGAGTTCCACGTCTGGCCTATCTCAAGGACGATAAGAAAACTGAAGAATCTATACGTGTTTCTTTTGGAACAAAACCTTCTGCTGTCCAGCAAGAATAACACGGAAAAATGTTGGAGTTTTCTTTTGGAAACAAAATATTAGTCTTGGCTTAGCGAGCGAGACAATACACTCCGTTTTGTGTAACAAAAACCCATCGGTCACGTCAAGCTGTTCCAGCCAGCTGACAAGTAACGCTTCTGCAACTTGACAATTTGACAACAAGTTCGCACCCGGGCTGACAAGAACCAGGTAGGGAACATTTTCTGCACTGAACGTGTGGAACACAACGAAAAACTTCTGGAGACTGCACAATTCGTTACTAGGCTTAAATGAGCCCACAGCTCTGGCTGCTGAGAATGCAACCCAGGTTTTCAACTGTGTTAATTATCTGAAAAGTGCGAGATCTCAAAACACGTCAGGATCCTGACAGCATTAAAGTCATTAGAGAAAGCACAAGGTAAAAAACCATCTTTTCACTAAATATACCTATTACCCCTCCTTAGTCGTTAAGACAGGCTATCGTTTCACAAAGTATTTGACATGATAGCTTGCACTACCTTGAAGTGTATTAAAAATACTGACTGTGCACTCTCCAACAGTTCTACACCTTCTGCATGACACCAGTACCTGTATCTGAGGGCCGAAGGGCATCTGTATCGCACGTGAAAAAGTTCTGATGATCTTGAGCAGACAAATTCATGTCATAGTACGTCAGAGGCTCCTTCCCGGTCACCCACATGTATCTTTAACGGGAGAAATTGCAGTAAGAGGCATCGAGTGCACAGTAATGCTGATACCAAGGGGGATGCCCTTGTGTATGCCCCCAGTGAATTTAAAAAATATGCAATGGAAAGTAGGCTAATTAATACCTGCTATACTCTGCCCCTCTGAAGAGATTGAGAGGATTTCGCCACACTTTGCACTCTGGAGAAAGGAGGAAAAAAAAAAAAAGTACTTTTTGAATTAAGAGAGCAGAAATCCTACCGTGACTTTAAAATGCAGCAATGCAAATGCAGTTTTACTTGCTATACAACTGGAGCACGATCACATGATCATCTTCTCTCTAATTTCTGCCATCCCATAAATATTTTTGCTCCCAAACATTGCTGGGGCACAAAAGCACATGGTGGAAACATTAAACACTGCCATTTAAGCTCATGCAATGTTTATCTGCACATATTCAGAAGAGTAAATATCTAATGATACTGAAGTTTTAGTATGTATTTTCTAAATCATATTTTAATAATGAATGCTTTAGATCAAAGATGCATTATTATTTCGTTTATTTTTACCAGATGTAGGCCCTTCTCCAGCCCTGACAAGCACTAAAGCAGAGCCAAAGCCACGGAAAAGCCAGCTTGCGTGAACCAGGCGCCCTGAGAGGAGACCTGCAGGGCCCTGTGCCCTCACCTGGCACGTTCTGCTTGCTCGCCTCATTCTCTCCAGCCGAGAACGCCGCTGGTGTGGGGGGGCTGCTCTCTATGCCCCCGATGAGGGGTCGTAAATGACTCACAGAAACCTGCTCGATGAAAGATGTGCCGTATTTTCGGAAGTGCCACCACTCAAACACCTGTCATGGGAGAAAAAAAGTACCAGAAATTTCCTTAGGCAACACCTGACACACATCAGATGCAGAGCCAAACGTTCACAGCCGGTACATCCCCTTGCAGATATTTTCTTCAGCTTTTAACACTGCAAATGAAGAATTAACCCAAAGGATTCGTATGTAGCACCACAGTCTGCATCAGGGTCAGAAACAGCTGTGCTGGCAGAACTGACCACGCAAGCCCCATTCACTTCACACAGTCAGCCACGTCTGTGCGTGTTGTCGTCTGAGGATGAGCTGAATTACTGGCTCACTTTCACACCAAAGTCGTTAGGACAGTTGCATGATGACACATGCACAAACCCCCCCAAAAAAAATTACTGTGGGAAGCTAAACTCTTAACTACCTAATTTAAGAGATAAAAATCTCAGTGTTTTCTTTACAGAGAGGTCTGCAGAGTCCACGTGTGTATTTTGCATTGTTATGTATCTATGTACACACACACACACGTACATGCACATACGTGGACACATTCCTCTTTAAAACAAGCCTGAGCTTCTAAGCCAGGTCCAAGTTATTTTCCTCAGACTCACCTCAGTGCACAACACGCAGCAGAAGAGTTCACACAATACACCAGAAAAGTGACGAAATAACAAGTCCCTTCCTAGTACAAAGGCACCCTCTAGAGTCAGATCAAAATAGAGCCGACTGCATTCACCCCTAATGAAAGCATTCCAGAGGTGCTGGTTCTTTTTAAAAAGCGGACTACTTACAAATATCAGTCCAGATATAAAAGATGAAGTCACTGTAAGGGCAAAGTAGAATTTTGGAGTCAAAGTGCTTAAGAACACAGTCACTGTCAAGAGAAACAAAAACAAAGACTTAACAAGCAGAACCAAAACCCAGCTTTTTATTAAACGATGAATGAAATATTGTGCAAATAATATTCTAATACAACATAGCCCTAGTAACCTTACCGATAACGTTACTTTGCTAGAGAACCCTTTCCATGTATTATTTTTCATTTGTATCTGTCAGTGAATTAGTTAATATATCCAAACTGAAATATTCAGTGCAAGTTAAGACAAAGCAGCCTGCAGCTTCAACCACCTCACAGCTGGTGGACAGCAACAAACCACCGCACTTTTCATGGCTGGCAAACCACAATGAGCCAATTGAACGCATTATTTCCTGCTAATCTAAACCAGAAACATAACTGCTTTGATGCAAGTTTCTATTCAGTGTTAAGAACAAACGCTTTCCACAGACCTTTCCTTCCTGGTGGTTACAGCACAAGGCAAGGAATGCAGTTTTCTAGTGCTACTCTGATGGTGGTTTTGCACCAAACTGCACATCAGCTTTGCCATCCTCCGGGAGGGAGCTGCTGGCACAGGACAGCCCGGCCAGAGTGCAGGCCCGGCCTGGGGCTGACAGCAACCGGTTCACCCCCAGTTTAGGCCTCCAGCCCGAGGAGGCACCTCCGGGACGGTGTCTGCAGGGACAGGGGATGGGCTGGGGACACAGCCGGGGACACGGGAACCACCTCGGATGACTTCAGCTGCCCCGGCACCGTTACGGGGCTCCTGAGGCCCGCGCTACAGCTCCCCAGACACCGAGACGTCCCTAGACCCGTCGGCACAGCGGGAGCCCCGGGGCTGGACGGACGCTCTCCGTCTGTCGCTGCGGGAGG